AGGCACCAAGCAATGCAATCACCTTTGTCCCCCCCCCCCCCAGTTCCTGTGGCTTGGCACCTTCGGGATACCACTAGGTTGGTGAGCAGCGCTCTGCCTGGCCAGAGGGGGGGACATTGTCCAGGGGGCTTGTTTTTGGGGGAGGGCTTATATTTTTGCCCACCTGAAAAATGTGGCATGGTCTTATTATCAGGACATGTCATATTTTGGGAGAAACAAGGTATATTTATTATTTAATATAGAGATCAGAGACTTAATAAAGGAATCAGTCTAACAAGCAGTTAAATAAATGTGGCTGTCACTGTCTCGGCCAGTTTTATAAAAAATAAAAGTCATGTATTTTTCAAGTAGTTTCTCAGAAGCTGTGCAGTAGCATAGATCAAAATTAAAGAGTTTCCTAGATAGGTGAGATAAATTCAACAAATGTACTAATATTGGAAGTAACTCTGGACTTTTTATACTAGTTCAGCTCTGTTGCCTGTTCATCTTGACAGTATTATGTTCCAGATAAAAGAAAGTGTTAAAATTACTGCATTACTGCTTCAGATAGGAAGGCAGCGCAGAGAGTAGTGAGGATGGCAGAAAAAAATCATTAGTAGATCACTCCCTTCTATCCAGGACATGGCATATAAGAGCAGGGTACCTAGTATTATCTGGGATGCTATACATCCTCTTCACGATTTGTTTTTCCTGATCTGATTCCCTCTCCTCTGGGAGGAGGCTTCATGGAATCCGAAGCAGAACATTTAGATTCAGTCATAGTTTCGTTCCATTTAGTATCAACCTTGTGAACTGTCAAGTTTCCTCTTTCCGGTGTGTGTATGTGTGTGTGTGTTTGTATATGTGTGTATGTATGGGTGTAGGTATATATATGTATGTAGATTTTCACCGGTGTAGGTATACTGATATATATAGGTATATAGGTATATAGGTATGTAGGTATATATATATTAAGCAGTTGTTAACACAACTGCTTAATATGTAATACAGCACAGGTTCAAATCCCAGTAAGAGTATGGCTAGCTGATGTGAGCTAAATAGCTTGAAATATTTCTATACTAGTCTCCCTTTATTTATTTATTTATCAGCACAAATGCAACACACACACACACACACACACACACATATATATATATATATATATATATGTGTGTGTGTGTGTGTGTGCGCCCGCGCGCGCACGTGTGTGTGTATAATGTAGCATGTGTATATGTGTGTTATGTATATGTTCTCTTGAGAGCAAGTAACAGAATTTCATTTTTAATGTGGGCCAGTGTGCTCACAGTAAAAAATATATATGATAAATAAATAAATAAAGGGAGACTAGTATAGAAATATTTCAAGCTATTTAGCTCACATCAGCTAGCCATACTCTTACTGGGATTTGAAC